GGATTATTTTATATTCCGTGGTGTTATTTGTGAAAATGAAGTGTTATTCGAGTATTATGTAGTGTTATTCGATTACTTTGCGGTGTTATTAGAAACGTCGATTGGGGCTGGGTCACACGGTCAGAAGTTAATTTTTAAATTTTAAAAATAGTGAGTCTGGGTTTCGAGCCGAGCGGCCCGGTAAAAATTATTTTTTTCGTCTGTCCCATAGGTAGATCCCGACAATCTGCGTGTTCTCGTTTTATTGGACTCCGAACTTAGCTCTACGTTCGGAGTCCTGATGTAATATTTTTCCAGATTTCAGTGGTTTGTATGTAACATTTGAAGTTTAAGTGTTAGGAATGTATATGAATAAGATTAGATTTAGAGTAATGTTGATTTTTGGTTTAATTAATGTAGATTTTAGGTTCAGCTTAAGATTTTGGGGTTATATTTATTTATCCACTTCTAGGCAATCTTCAGGTTAGATAAGCTGTTAGAGAAGGATAAAATAGTGAGAAATTGGAATTTCTATAATATATCTTTGTCATTCTAAAATTAATAAACTTAATGTAAGGTAAAAATTGTATTAGTTGAATTAAGAAGTTACTAAAAGAAGTCACAAGAGTCCAAAAATATTGATGTCAATTACTAATGGAAAAAAAACATGCCTTTAAACTTAAGTCACATCAATTTTTTCATTATATAGACCTAAAAAAGCATTCCCTAATTATATGAAACTCCCCATTTAATGTGTCTATCTACAAAAGCAAACCCTGGATGTTATTTTCATGTAAGCTTGTTTAAGAAGTCTAGTAATTGAGAAAATTTTGTAATGTTTAGTAAGGTGGTATGTAGATATAAATTGAAGTTTTGGTGTTAGCTAGGCATGCATATACATAAGAGTTCAATGGTAAGCATGCAAATATTACAGTTTTCGTGTTAGGTTTGTACATACATAATTTATGCATCAGAATATTTCAAGGTACAAGCATAGGTAAGGTTGTATGTAGGTATAAATTGAAGTTTAGGTGTTAGGTTTTTATTTTTGTTTCAGACATATTTATGATATAATGTAGGAGGAGTAAGAGCTGCTCCGAAAGAGGCAATTTCCCTCCCAGACCCCGCGTACTGCCAACAGTAGTGCTTGTCAATCTACTATTGTGCAGTCTAAGTTTGAGCTATGGACGCAGGCGGTGGGGAAAAAGGTTGAGACCTCTCATGCTTCTGTGAGCGACACAAGCTCATCACACAAGAGTACTGCGGAGCTTGTCAGGTAGGTCGCTGTTATGAGTGAGGTGGTTCACTGTCTATGTAAAGATAAATAGAGAGTTGAGTGGAGTGTAGCGCGCCTGATGAAAATTATAAAAGATCACAGGGGCAAGCAAACAGTGACTGCTATAGTTGAAGAGGAGGATAAGTAGGAAGATTAGGAGTTGTTATGTATTTTTAGTTTATGAATTGTTTGAACTTATATTGATTAGGGTGTAGATGTAAACTTTTGATAAGTTAGATCTGTAACAGTATCTTCATTTTCCTTATTAATATTTTTAAGAGCGTTGAACTGTGATATAGTTGTATATAATTTTGTTGTTAAGCAGACTAATCATTAATTTTATTGTATTGAAGCATAAATCTTACTCGTTTTTTCTTTCTTTAGACATAGATGTTATTGTGTCTTACCTCTACTGCACTATTTCTTTCTGCTTATGATTACTTTTCTCACCAATACTAATATTTTTAATGTCATTTCTTTGTTTGCAGATGGCCACAGATGGTACAGGTGGTCAACTACCTCATAAACCTCGTGTTCTAATGACTGTCGAGACCGTAACATGAAGAGGAGGTTGCCAACTCATGCTGTTGTTTCCACTACTGCTACACCTTATGTGTAACTCCTCCCCCCCTACTGTAGCTACACCTTTTATGGCACCTCCTCCCCCACCAACTGCTACTACCCCTCTTTTGGCACCATCTCCCATACTCGATGTTTCCTAGTCTCCTATGGCACCTGCTACTTCCACACCTACTCCCCCACCAACTGCTAGCATACCTCTACCGTGCCCCCCTTCGTAAGTTATTTTTAACATTGTATTACATTTATTTTTCATGTTATATATTTTTTTGTAATTAATGTTTCTTAAGCAGATTCAATCCTCACTAGCTTCCTGTCACCTACATCACATAGATTATCAAGAGCAGATTTGACGAGCCATATTTGTCATGGAAGCAAATACATGTATCTACTCAAGACTTATGGTTTAGGGAGTTTGAGACACGATCATGTAATTTGAATAAAATTTCTAAATTGATTAATTTTCTTATACTAACATATGGTTTATTTTTAATGCTGCAGAGGTCTTTCACCTGGCTCCCTACCACCACCAGCAGATCTGTCGAATCTTCAAGATTCGGGACAAGCGTCGCTTTGCTGACATGTTCACGACAGCTCGCCAACGGGGCGAGCGGTCTGCCTAGATTAGTGAGGGGCTCTGAGATCAATTTACTGCATCTTGAACATTTTTTTATTTTGAGAGGAAGAGGTAGACGAGCTGGGCGAACCGAGTGAAGAGGGGGCTAAGGGAGCTGCGCTCCATATTGGCAGATCAATCTCCCATATGGAGCATTATAATAGGCTAGTAAATTTTTATTAGATATTTAAACATTAATTCAATTTTTGGAGTAATTTCTTAGTGCTAAACATGTTTGTACGTCGCACATGCCAAGGAGTTAAGCTGTGCTCCCTCTGTTGCGGAACTACTTGTTTGAACCCATCCACATCCGAGAATTCATAGTGGGTCACAGAGCATTCCCAATGGTTTTCCGTAAGTTAAAAACCTTATATGAAAAGTTTATTTTAACTCTAACTGTTGAAAGTGTCAATTAAACACTGGTTTTCATTATACATTAGGAGTTCGGGTAGCTCATGGAGAGGCACTTGGCCACTTAGATCTAGACTTTTGCCAACAGTAGTGATATTCAGTCTACTACTGTGCAGTCCAAGTATGAGCTTTAGACCCAGGCGACAGGGAGGAAAAAGGGAGGGTTTATAGCCTTAGAGCGAAAGACATAGCCTTGGAGGTCGAGCTCACCCATGATCCCGTTCTTAGTTCCCGGAGCTCTCCCATAGCCCTATTCTTAGTTCCTCGAGCTCCACACAGCCAGAACAGAAGGCTCTTCCTAGATAGTGGTTGCAATGAACGAAGAGATCTGCAAGTTGTACGAGCAGATGCTGAAAGGCCAACATAGAGTCGGTGACTCTATAGCGTGCATGGCAGAGACCCTAGTAAATAGGCGGAGGAAGCTACCGTTGACATCCATGTAGGAGGAGGATGAGGAGGATGAAGATGATGAAGATGATGAGTAGTTTTTTTCTTATGTTTTTTTTTAATTTATAGACATTATGTTACACATTTGTTGTAGAATATCTTGGATTACTTTTTCTATTCTTATTTGAGATAATTTATGACATTATCTTTCTTTTATTAATGATACTTTTTAGAGTTTTGATATGTGATATGGTATGCTATGTGAAATAAATTTTTGTGCAGGTTGTGGAAACATAATCGAGATTTAAAATTTTTTTCTGTGTTACAAGTTTGCGCTGGATTTGAGTCATTGCGTCTGTTTTCAGACTCAAATTCCGACGTGAAATCAACAATAATATTTCGACTTTTTGCGATATTTTTTGAAGCAAATTCGACAGTAATCTGACGCTAATATTTATCGTCCTATATTTTCAAACGTAAATTTCGACGCACGCTTTGCATAAGCAAATCAGATGCTAGTACGACGCAACAACCGACACAAATTATTTGTGTCGAAATGTTTCGACATAAACTGGACGTAAATCAAATTACCGACCTTCAATTTAACGACAGAATAAATTGGATGTAAATCAGAATCAAATCTGAAGATAACCTTAAAATATCGTCAGATCTGCGTCCAATTTGTGTCTGATTTAGCCAACACAAAGATGTTTAATCCCTGCAGTGTTTACTGAAGAGATTTTTTATCATAGTAAGTTGCAAATTTCTTAATTCTGATTCTTTTGAGCCGTTTGATCTAGCCAACACAAAGATGTTTAATCCCTGTAGTGTTTACTGAAGAGATTTTTTATCATATTAAGTTGCAAATTTCTTAATTCTGATTCTTTTGAGCAATTTGTCATTAGCTCATTTTCCAAACATATTTGAATCACTGAAGGAGCATTATGATCCCTCTTTGTTTTGTTAATTTACTCATGATTTCATGCATTTTCCATGCTCTATGATTGCCTTCACAAGCCACTACTGTTATAAAACACCACTTATTTTGATTCTCAAAAGCTCAAAGGTCTTTAGCCATTTTCATTTTTAAATTATCCAACCTTATTTTCAAGCTTTCACACAACCAACTTGATGCTCATCTCGCCATGTGATTCATGCATGAATAGTAGTCCATACCAAACAAATCTTGAGAATAATATCCCGAAGTTGGCTTTTGTTGCATGCTGAAATTTGGCTTGAGTTCGATTCTGTATCCTACTCTACCAAGTGAAACAAAAAGCTAGTAGGCAACCAAGCAAAACATAAAGCCAGTGGGCTTGCATAGGATTTTGTTTTAAGGATCGTGAAGCAAATTTAGACTAAAGTTGGGGTCAAATACACAAATGAACATACATATTTTGTTACAAGGGAAATAAAAAAAAAGAAATTATTACATAAATAAACTTGATGGAAAAAATGTCAAGCAATGATACATTAAAAAAAAAAATGGAGGTCAATATGGTGAGAATCATTTTACAACATACGAGGCAACAACAATAGACAACAAGGATCAAGTAAAAATGTGGAACATTGTAGTCCCGAACATGCATCCAAGCTTCTTCTTCATCCACATCAAAACTGCTAATAAAAAAGAAGAGATATATGAACCAGAAGAGTTCATCACAACTGTTCAAAGGAGTGCCAAACTAATGCACATCCTGGGAATGATATTTTTGATTGAGAACAACAACAGTGAAAAAAAGTTCATATTTTTCATCGTTTCCAAGGTTTAAGAACCGCGAGAACAATGACGATGGCGATTATCAGGAGCAAAGCTATTCCAATGAGCATGCATTTTCTTGATTGCTTCTGCAAGCTCTTTGCTGTTTGCAGGGCTTCTGTTCCACTCTGTACATGATTCACTGCATTTGCTACCTGAAAGTTATAGTTTCAGTTTGTTAAAATGAAGAATTTTACTAGAAGAAGACTTTTTTTTAAAAAAAAATTTCAATAGTTAGAATTCCTCATTCAGTATTGTAAGCTTTTGTCATATGTTATTCTGTTTACATTATAAAATTACTGAAACATCTTTTTGTTTGGAGAAGCCAATGGTCTGTGGCGATTAATTTGTTCACAGAAAATTAGTTCAAAAAGTTGAATTTTTGTAAAACAAGTAATTTGTGAAATAAATACATAGTAAGAGCAAAAAATCAAACCTGGGTTTCGATATTATCCAACATCTCTCCCTGCGCTTCAACTAGCACTGCCATGTCCATGAATATCTACTGACACAAAATTTAATTAGAAGTAGTTAAGGTAAGGCAACACAGCCTGCTATATATATATAAATATACATAATTAAATCAACTAAACTGTAAAAGTTAGGAATGTACTTGATGCAATTCAAGCAATTTTTTCTCAATCTCCTTGACGGCATCATGCCTTTCTTGAATCTCTTCTAAGGTATCCATTACCTGTAAGCACAAATCTCATCAAAAAATCAATTTTTCAGTAAACAAAAATTATAATCCAACAGCTTGAAGTAGACCTGCCCTCGTCCCATATCTTGAATCGCCTTCTGAAATATTTTTTCGCTATTGCCAGTCTCGATCAACTCATCAATCATCTGAATGTTTCATTATTTTAATAACATGATATAGAAGTTTTCCACAGAGCACATAGACTTTAGCTAATTATAAATCTCACCTCCTCAGTTGGAGTGGTCCCTGTGACTGCACAATGCAATATATACAAATGGAATCAGATAATTTTAGCTCATTAAATATAGTTTGTGATAAAAAGATAGATCTTTCACATTTTTTAGATGAAATTATGATAGCTTGTGGGTTTGGTACCTGTAAAAAACCTCCTCTGAACAATTTCCCTGTACTCTTCTTGTATAGACTGCCTCAGATTCTGGAATGGGTTATGCAAAATTAAAAAACTGATTTTTCATGAAGGATAGGTGCAGAGAAGAAGATTAAAAACCTGGAAATCATTCACTTTATCCCGCAATTTCTTCTTTAAAGAACTGCAAATAATAGAAGCCAACATTACTGCTTACAAGTATCACAACACAATCTAACACAGCTAAACAAGGAAAACTCACACAGTCATGGCTGTTCTTGATCTGTCAACTGCAGTCCCCTTTCCGCAACCAGAATTTTTCCGGTTCTCCAAGTTCTAAAAACCAATAACCAATATGAAAACTTAGATCTTTCCACACAAATCAAAACAAATTAGAATTGAAGCTTACATCTCGATCAATTTCTTCTAATTTCATTTTGATGGCACGTGCAACTATTCCCACTTCATCCATTTCCTTATCCATTCTTTTCTTATAATCTGGAAGCAATCCAAGTTTACATTTTTTTCAGATTATTATGATTTGATTGGCATAATATGCACGAATGATGAGTCTGAGGTGTGCTACCTTTCATGGCAGAAGCCTTGGTAACAGCCTTGGTCTCCTCATTTGCTTCCTGCAAGTATTTTGTCAGTTCATTTCAATCTTATTAAAAAACTTTACCATAAGCTCCTATTGATTCTGTTGCTCAGTAATTAGCGTACCTGAAGCTTTTTGAGGTTATCAGAGAGCTTTCCCATAAGCTCATCCACTTCTTTTACCTGATTTGATGTAAGAAAAGAATCAAAACATGCAAATAGTAAATCTGAAGGGGATTCTAATTAATGCAGAATGCGATATATAGTTGTACCTGTTTGAAAAATTCCTCCATTCCATAATCTGTTTTCAGGCTTTGCATGGGAAATCCTAACTCTATATCTCTTTCCTTCCCTCGGAGACCTGTCTTGCTTCTCTGTGGCAGAAACAAAAGAGTCCTGCGAAGCAGAATCATGAAAGAATATTCATTCAGGTGAGGGTTTCAAATCGTCCTGAAAGTCTGCTGTCTCTGTAACAGATGACTGTTAAAAATTCATTTTTTTTTTGTGACAATTGAGAACGGCTAGTTTTGTGGCCTCAAACCAGCCATATTCTCGAGTTTTAGATCTGATTATACAATGCTATAGTAAATTCTTAATAGTTTCTGCATTAAACTAATTAGAAATTATAAAAAATACCAATCATATAACAAAAACGAAAGCATCATAACATTCTACTACATAAACAGTGCAAAAAAGGGATAAAATCAGAACAACAAAGTGTAAAAATAGAATTTCTTATTACATTGAGAAGATCATTCATTGTCACAACTCCGAGAAATGGAAGCTGGGAGTTCTAAAAGGCTCTTTCTTAAGAGACCGATGCCGCCGAAACAATAACTAGAAGAACAAAAAGGAGGGAGGAAGAAGAAGATCAGATTGAACCAGAAACAATTTGTTATAAAAGAATCGGAAGCCTGAAATGAAGGAAAATGTCAGCACAGCACAACAAAAAAATTGCTGTCAGAATCTCGTTATGATTTATGCATGAAAAGAGAAAAGAAAGCCCTTTCTCGCCTGATCCAGCTTTCATCTCTTTAACCAGTTATGATTGTATAAATAAATAAATTTATGCCTGAAATTCAATTTCATATCAGCAAGAGATTGAATGGAATATCTTTTATGTATTTGTCTTGGTGAAAAACGACTTTATTAAGAGATAATTTAACAGAAGAAACAAAATGTGTTGTCCATAAAAGAATTCTAATTTGCATTCAGCTATTTGATGTTTGCAGTAATTAGTGGAGGACAGATAATTTAGTATGTGTCTAATTGGCGAATTGCAAAGGGGCTGGGCGTGCATGTTAATTGGCTGGATTTGTTCTTTGTTACAAGAGAGTTGATGTCACTAAACTTTATTAACAAAAAAAGTTAAGGAAAGATGATTTTTAATGAATGCTGTTAACTTAGGAATCTTTATATAGTTATTTTTTTATTCAAGGAAAATTTATATACATATGGCACATTTTTTTGTTTATTTACATATCTAACATAAGCTTTCATCATATTTAAGCGTAAAATCATTTTGGTGTTATAAATAGGGGTGTAAACGAGCCGAACACGAGCGAGCCCGGGCTCAGCTCATGCTCGGCTCGTTTCTATTTCAAGCTCAAAAGTGTGTTCGTGTTCGGCTCCGTTGCTTTACGAGGCGAACACGAGCCGGTCACCCAAGTCGTTTACGAACAAAGAGTCGTTTTGACAACCCTAATCACGTAGCCATAAGATGTTAAGGATTAGGGCAAAATTTAAAAATTATTGTTTATATTAAAACATTACTTGAATCTAATTTAATAACTTTTATTCTATTTTCTTAATTAATACTTTTAATTGATTATAAATCTTTATAGCCTTGTAGTCAATTTCTTATATATATATATATATAATTGATGAGTAGTTTTTCGAGCCAAAACGAGCAGAACACGAACAATCAAATCTTTGTTCGTGTTCGGCTCGCTAACTTAGCGAACGAGCCAAACACGAGCTTCTTAACGAGCCGAATATGAGCTGTTCGTGAACAACGAGCCGTTTTGACAGCCCTAGTTATAAACCTATGTATGTAAATGCATGTTTCACTTTAATGATATTTTAATGTGATGTTAGATATTTGAGTGCTATGAATGTAAATATGAAAGTTTTGGGTTTAGATATGTAATACATACAAATTATGTGGTATAAATGTAAATAACCCTTTATGAAAGTTTATCTTTTGGATTTCAATGATGATTGTTGTGGATGTCAATTTGTGCATTTTATAATTGTAAAGTGCATAAACATTTGTTTTTTAGGCCTTCTTTACATAATTTCTTCTCTACTTCTATATAGAATACATCTTTTTTGGTACATCAAATATTTATATTTACATTTAGGGAGATTTACATACATACAACTCAATTCTTATGTATTTATATATCTAACACCTATATTTAATTTTTGCATATAGCCCACCTTAATGTCATATAAAAGGTGTATTCACTTTTTAAAAGTTATAAGAGTGGTACTTTTAATGTGATGTGAAAAAAAAAGGTGATGGTAGAATTGTAAAAAATAAAAGTGCATGTGTTAGATATGAAAATGCATAGGAATTGGGTGGTTGGTATGCAAATGCTCCTTAATAGTTTATATCCTTCCATTCTATAATATTACCTAGAGGGAAGACTAATTTTTAAAATTTTTTGACTGAAAGCATGAAGCAGCAGTGTTATATCACTAAAAATTATATGATCAAGCATTTTTTATAAGAAGTATTTTAAATTCAAATTCATGATCATCCAAGCTCCAATTTCATCAAATTTATACTTAAATTGAGCCTCTTGGAAAGATGAACCCAACTTCTCTAAAATTAGGTCAATCCAAGTCTAATCAAGCTCACATTAAGTCGTTAAATCATAATATGGGGATTTTGATCATTATTGAATGGTCAAATAAACTTCAAACTTGCATATTTAAAGTCAAATGGAGCATCTTGACGAGAGAAATCCAATGAGCTTAAGGTCTTAAATCCAAGGTTATTATGACACCAAAATCCTTAAAAACTTATCTATGCTCAAGGGGGATCAACGCAGACCGTCTGATCATCCCTAAAAAGCTGTAAATAGACACTCTCTCTTCACTTGAGAGAGGAGAAGAAGAGAAGAAGAGAAGGAGAAGTGAAATTTCAGTGCCTGTTATGGAGAGAAGGCACAATAGTAACTACTAGTGTTATGGAGAGAAATTCCAGTAGTTACTATTATGACGGCTACTGCTACGGAGCATCTTGACGAGAGGAATCCAACGAGCTTAAGATCTTAAATCCAAGGCTATTATGACACCAAAATCCTTAAAAACTTATCTATGCTCAAGGGGGATCAACGCAGACCGTCTGATCATCCCTAAAAAGCTGTAAATAGACACTCTCTCTTCACTTGAGAGAGGAGAAGAAGAGAAGAAGAGAAGGAGAAGTGAAATTTCAGTGCCTGTTATGGAGAGAAGGCACAATAGTAACTACTAGTGTTATGGAGAGAAATTCCAGTAGTTACTATTATGACGGCTACTGCTACGGAGCATCTTGACGAGAGGAATCCAACAAGCTTAAGATCTTAAATCCAAGGCTATTATGACACCAAAATCCTTAAAAACTTATCTATGCTCAAGGGGGATCAACGCAGACCGTCTGATCATCCATAAAAAGCTGTAAATAGACACTCTCCCTTCACTTGAGAGAGGAGAAGAAGAGAAGAAGAGAAGAAGAAGTGAAATTTCAGTGCCTGTTATGGAGAGAAGGCACAAAGTAACTACTGGAATTTCTCAGCCACTATCAACTACCGCCCATCATCACCACCTATCTCCATTGAAAACCAACTATTGGTGGCCATTGCTTACAACCATTGTAGCCAGACTATGACTATTTTTTGAATCTCCTAACACGAGTATTTTTTGAGTTATATAAATGCTAGTATTGTTTCTAGTGTAAAATTGGAACTTTATTCTCTTATCGCAAAGAAGGGTATACTCGTATGCTTACAAAAAATAGTGAATTACTTTGACTGGACTGTTGACCTCATTTTTGGTGAGGTATAAGTTTTTTCTCTTAGAATTTAGGATCTAGCCATAGAAATTTCCTATTGACTATCCTAGAGGACTAATGATGAAGCCCACCTCACCTAGAGATTCAAAACACTTCTTAAATCTTTTATGAAGACTCATATGGATGGTCTCAAATCCATAAATATTGGTTAAGATGGCTAGAACTAATATGTGGAGTCTCAAAAAATGAGTTCTTATATGACTACGAGGCTTTAGGGAGGCCCTTTATAGTTGGGCACTCACCTTATACTACATACACATTCATATACACCACATTACATACACCCTTACCTCACTCTTACACACCCATACACCTACATACACACTTATACAAACCACATACACATTCACATGCACCACATCACATATCCCATACATAATTCATGAACAACTCATACACTACCACAATCCTCATCACCCCCAAACCTTACCCTATAATTCACATACATATACACTATAATACACTCTCACCACCTAAATCCTAAAATTACACAAAATACCAAAATTACCTAATTTCACCAAAATTCTCAAATTTCCACCAATTTCCATCAAATTCACTTCAAGCCCATCCTAAAACCAAAATCCAAAATCAAGTCCAATTTACCCAAAAAATTTCCAAAATTACAAACTTCACTCATAATTACCCAAGTCCAAGCCCAAAACCACCCCATAACAAAAGTTCAAAAGCCCATGACTCAAGCCCAACATCCAAGTTTGCTTTAACCAAAATCTACATGATAAAATTTGGCCTCTACATCAAATTTAATCAAACATATAGTCCAAAGTTTTCATGATTTATTCAACCAAGATGTAATTCATAAAAACCCTTTCAAACTTGGATTTCTCACCCACCTTCTTTAATGTAAACCATGTAGGTCAGCATGAGCCGTGGGCAAGCCATATAGTTTCATCCAAGCCACATGGAAGCCATGAAGCCATGTATGAGCCTCATGTGAGCCACCATACCTTAAATGACAAAAGGAGGACCCTCTTTCAAGTTTCCCTCAACAGTGCTTAACCATAAACCTAAATTTAGGACCTAAGCACTTGACGAGGACTCGACTAAACATTCTCCCACGATCAATATCAACCATAGCTACCTTGCTAGTGAGCCAAACCTTTCTCCATGAGCCAAACCCATGGTTGACCCAAAAGTGTGACAAACCCCATTTCACTTTAATCTAACCCTTGGGCACATGGCACCACACAATTGACTTCACAACTCTCCACCCTTGACCTCCCACAACTACATTGTGACCTCTCATGGCCTGATTGGCCACCATGGCTACCGAAAAACCCAAACCCAAGAGCCAACCATGGGGAAAAATTCAAGCCCATCCAATGTGGCTCAACTCCATTGGAACTTGACCTCCACCTCACCTCCACTTATGTCCTCCTGAAGATGGAAGTTCTATAGGACCCACTATATCTGTGCCACAACATTCAAGTGGCCACAACGTGATTGTCAGATACAACACATTTGGGAGTTTGTGTAAGACAACTCAGTGTACTTGACATTGGGGATAGTTTCTAGTTGTTCTCATGCAGTCTGCCAGTACTATCGACCAATAGTAATCCAATCTCTTGATCTTCACTGTCATCTTCAGGCTTGATTGGTGAGAGCTGCAGAGTCTGGTGTGCACCTCTCTGAAAATTTCCCAGGCCTCTGATTTATTGAGACATCTTAGCCAATTTTGATCGAAGGACCTTCTATACAGAATGTTGTCTGCTAAAGATTACAACAACGCTCTCTTCTTTATCTGATGTGCTACTGACTTATCATCTGGTAGCTTTCGTTTCTGCAAGTATTCTATGGACGATAGTCACCAATGCTCTGTATCTTTAGTAACTACTATCCTAGCTTCATCATTACCCAATTAATGCAAGGTATCCATGTCAATTTGTGAGAGGACCTGATGTCCTTATATCGTTATGTTGATGGAATCCTCTTGCAGCCAAGCAAAGTCTTTAGCAATCTTCATAAGGGTGTTCACAAGAACATTCTCTTCTCTTGGGATTCTTTATAACGTTACATTGAGAATATGTTCCAACAATTTCAATGTATGTTGGAAATACTGTTCTAGCCTCGGCTTCAGAATTTTGTATTGTTTGACCACTTGCTGAATAATTAAGTGTGAAACACCATAGATGTTGATGTCTGTTATTACCATAATATTGCTAATTCCAACCCAGTTATTAAAGCTTCATATTATGTTTCATTGTTCGTATAAAGATTTATCAGATGGTAGCAATAACACAACATTCCTCGCTTTGGTGTGATGAAGATCAATTCGACTCCTGCTTTGCTTGGAACGATTGTTTGTCATTGTTTATCTTTCTTTGCTGCAAAAGCTCCGTCAAAATATATCTCCCAATGTTGAACATTGGGGACTTTTATGCTCATTACTTGCTCATCTAGCAACTCTTCATTGAGGGGCAACGTGGCCGGAAGCGGGTGTGCTGCAAGAAATCTGCCAAGTTTTGTCCTTTGATGGCTCAGAGAGGCATAAATGTTATATCGATTTGCAATAATATCATTGACCATCTTGCCAGACGTCCGGAGAGTGTTGGTCGTGTCATTAAATAAAAGTTAGACAATGATACTCAATAGGAGGATACTTTTCTTTCGTCGGTATCAGACAATGACTTAGGTAGTGGAGGGAATTTCCTTTCCTTCATCAATAACCTGGGCTAGCAGGGCTCTGAGGGAGTCGTCTAAAAATGTTGTATAAGGTATTAATGGTCTACTCGAGACAGAGGTTGTTAATACAGAAGGTGTCATTAAGTACTGCTTAATGCCTTTGAAGGCATGTTGACATTTATCATCCCAAGAGATCATGACGTCCTTTTTTTCTCAATGCAAAAAAGGCTGATGAATGTCAACAGACCTTCAATTTCATTAAATAGTACTTACAATCTATTAGATTCTTGACCTCGATTGTAACTTGTTGCTCAATATCGAGGCACATTCTTCGTGGAGCTTGTTTGATTGGCGTCAAAATCTAGTCTATCCCAAGTTTGTGGACTGCAACATATGGTGCTAAACCAGACATCTCATTATAACTTCAGGAAAAGCAATTTTTGTATTCCAATTAATATTTTGATCATGTCTATGGTTTCCTTTTCATTCATCAAAGAGTTGATGAAAGTGGGTCTAGGTTCTCCTTTGGTTCCCAAGTTGACCTTTTTAGTTTGTCGATTGACAATTTAATTTATTTTATGAATTTCGGTGAAGCGTCTTCTACTAGTGGCTCTTCAAAGTCATCTGTAGCTTCAAGACATTTTTCATTTGATTCATTAGTGCAACTAGGCAAAATTTCGTATCATTGATTGGCCCTACCGTGCTGAATCCAACACTTTTTTTTGAATTAAAAGTTTGATTTTTATTGTTCCATAATTCTTCAAAAAGGTGTAACTTATCTTTTGGCACTTAGGCAGAAATCATGTTGAACAAGTTTTTGGACACATGGGAAGTACCACTCTGATTCATTAGTGCAACTAGGCAACATTTTGTATCATTGATTGGCCCTACCGTGCTGAATCCAAAACTTTTTTTTAAATTAAAAGTTTGATTTTTATTGTTCCATAATTCTTCGAAAAGGTGTAACTTATCTTTTGGCACTTGCTTAGGCAGAAATCACGTTGAACAAGTTTTTGGACACATGGGAAGTACCACTCAACAGACAATTTTATTAATTCAACAAAATTTTCCTCTTCTAGTTTTACATCACTTCGGAACTAGAAGATAAAGAACCACAGCTGAATCATATTGGCTTTACGCCTACACTTTGCAGAAATCACGTTGAACAAGTTTTTGGACACATGGGAAGTACCACTCAACAGACAATTTTATTAATTCAACAAAATTTTCCTCTTCTAGTTTTACATCACTTCGGAACTAGAAGATAAAGAACCACAGCTGAATCATATTGGCTTTACGCCTACACTTTGCAGAAATCACGTTGAACAAGTTTTTGGACACATGGGAAGTACCACTCAACAGACAATTTTATTAATTCAACAAAATTTTCCTCTTCTAGTTTTACATCACTTCGGAACTAGAAGATAAAGAACCACAGCTGAATCATATTGGCTTTACGCCTACACTTTGCAGAAATCACGTTGAACAAGTTTTTGGACACATGGGAAGTACCACTCAACAGACAATTTTATTAATTCAACAAAATTTTCCTCTTCTAGTTTTACATCACTTCGGAACTAGAAGATAAAGAACCACAGCTGAATCATATTGGCTTTACGCCTACACTTTGCAGAAATCACGTTGAACAAGTTTTTGGACACATGGGAAGTACCACTCAACAGACAATTTTATTAATTCAACAAAATTTTCCTCTTCTAGTTTTACATCACTTCGGAACTAGAAGATAAAGAACCACAGCTGAATCATATTGGCTTTACGCCTACACTTTGCAGAAATCACGTTGAACAAGTTTTTGGACACATGTGAAGTACCACTCAACAGACAATTCTACTAATTCAACAGAATTTTCCTCTTCTAGTTTTACATCACTTCGGAACTAGAAGATGAGAACCACAACTGAATCATATTGGCTTTACGCGTACACCCTGCACTTCCTTGACCACCCTCGACCTTGTTAGGACGGATCAGGGTTAAAATCATGGCTTTTACATCGTGGTTAATTTTGTCATACATTGCCTCATATTCTTATTTCTCTTCATTCTAAAAATGCCAAAGCAATCAATCCAATAAAATCATCATTGCTCAACAAGAAAACTAAGAGATACAGACCCCTATCACTGATAGTACACCCTTCAATTCCAACATAGGTGAAAATCGAAGGTCAACACATAAATTCTCCTCATAAATCTTTATAATTAAGAAATTTTATTTTTTGAGTGATATTTTTGAGGGTCTAGAATCCTTAGACATTGAAACTCAAAAGTGAAAACAAGCACAAAAATCCTCATTTTATAGGCAAAACCCGCCTAAACATGAGTAGGCAATAGCATCTTAGACTTGAAGAGGCAGCAATTGCCAAAGTGCTACAATACCTGAACTTTATATGCAACAGCTGCCAAAATGGGGGTGGACAACAACAACAGCTTGAAAAAATTAGGCAACCACAGCTTCTAGACCGGACAGCTGCAGTTCGAAAGATCTGGGTGGTTTAAATGTAAAAAAGAAAAGTCTAGGTGTTAGATATGTAAATACATAAGAATAAGAATCGGGCGGTACGTATATAAATGTCTGGTATCAGAGGGATTTATTATAAATTCACTATAGTTTGAGTAAGAAAATGATTTGGTCATAAGAAATTGTTGATTGTTCCAAATACTTTTCAAGATTATTTGCTTGAAAAACTCAATAATTTATTCAAAATAGTTGCCTATCAACAAGGGATTCTCATCTAATTAAAGAACTTTTCAAGAGTATTTATCATTAATTTGGAAGTAGCCTGAAGTTCTCCGGCAGCAATCAACTCTGAATCAATCTTGCTACACCGAGTCCAAATTATATTTAACTTTGTGGTTATGCTATCTATCAAATTATGCAATTATATAAATAGTGGGTCATTAGCCATAAATAGGCATAAGATATCTCTAACATAGTACAAAAGATACATCACATAAGAACATTTTAGATTTAATGATTCTCTCACAGATTCCTTCATGATCACTTTCTTACCATGAATTGCCTCTACAGTTCAATTAGTCCAATGCAATTTTGACAACTTATCTATTTATAGAATGTTTTCTATTTTGTCTTGTCTCAACATGTCACCATCATCATTACCTATTATCATCATCAAATAACATAATGGTTAGAGCTAATCAATCAAATTATCCAATTTTGGTCTAAGTACATTCAAGTCAATGTGATTCAAATGAACTATTTAGCTGAATTGAGCTTAAGACAAGGGTTAATCAAGCTTAAGTTAATTATTAATAATTTATTGAGATAGTTTGAAAGGCTATCTTAGCTTAATTTAGTCGTATTGGCCAAAATAAGCTGATGGGTCAACCAGAACTACGTGGATATTATCCTATTTAAGGGTGTCAATTTGGGTCAGCGGGTAGGGTTCAAGCCTGACCCGAAAAATGAACCGATCCAAATAGGGTCAAGTCGAAACAAACCTAAATAATAATCGGGTCAAAAACTAAGTCCTAAACCTAAGCTTGACCCACAAACCCAAACCCGACCCAAAATTTCATGCTTATTTAGGTCATGTTTTCGTTTTTGGTTTCGACCGAATAATAAATGGGTCAAGGTCTCTGACTCGAACACGATTCGAAAAATATTCAAGTCAACTTTAAACAGAATTTTTTGAGGCGAGTTCGAGTCAGTTGGCGTGTCGGGTCAATTTTTGACACCCCTAATTTAAGGCTCAATTAATGCTAAGTTATCTATGTCATATATTGAAAATTTTCTAAGGTTGAACCCACAAAGGGGACTTGAATATGATTTTAAATTCAGTGATTATACATAATTACATTGTTTGGAAAATGCAAAATCTTAAATTAGAAATTTAATTAAACGTATCTAAATTAATTAACTGAAGTCATGTTATGAGGTATGATTATTGGTAACTATGTAATCACTTTCATATTTGCTTTTTGATCTAAGATTAGCTTAATTTTATATATGATTTAACTAATCTTATTGTAACATAAATGAACTATTTTCATAGTGCATGGATTTTTTTAATAAATAATTTAATAATATAATAATTATGATTTTAATAAATAATTTTAAAAATAAAGATACTTATTTCATGCTAATACATTTTCTTAAATTTATTATAATATTTAGATTTTAAGTATTAAAGATTGGTAGAAATATTTAGTGGCATTTACATACATAACACGCAATTCTTTTGTTTTTACATATCTAACACTCAATGTTGATGTTTACACTTATAGCACTTTCATGATGTAAACTTATGCATGAAAAGGAATATTACACTTTTAAATTTTACCGATGGCAATATTTTTTGATGTAAAGTTAAAGATTTGAGAATTTTGGATGTAAATATGAATGCTTTGGTGCTACATATCTAATTACATAAGAGTATTGCAGGGTATGCATGTAAATATCCCAATTTTTTATTTAGCATGTATATATATATATATATATATATATATATCTATTCCTATTTCTATTTCTATTTTTTTTTCCATGATTTGTTGGTAGAGCATCCTTTCTAAAGGTCGTAAGTCCCCTCAGGTCCCATGTTTGAATCCCTTGGTGGTACAGTGTCGCCTTAAGCGAGGTGATACTCGACATATTTGCACACCGGGGCCTCATGCCTCAACCCATTCTTTCAATATATATACAATTAGGGCTGTCAATTTGGCTCATTTGTTCGTGAACAGCTCGTGTTCGGCTCGTTCGTTAAGCCTAACTAGCCGAACACGAACAAATTTTTAAGCTCGAAATGTAAAAAAGCCGAACACGAACAACAGTTTGTTCGCTCGTGTTCGGCTCGAAATGGCTCGAAAAAAAATTATATAATTTTTTATATAACAATATATTACATATATTATTTACATAATGATATATTA